CGCTCTTCAAGTCTTCGCGCGTCCTCCTGAAACTGGCGTCTTCTCCGAAAATTCTTTCCTCTTCCGTGAAATGACGCAACGCTTGCTCGACCCGACCCTGGAATTGGTGAACCTTTTCTAAAGCCTCGTCCACAGATTTCCGCAGCCCTGCGACTTGCGCGTGCACGTTGAAGTGGTCGACGAGGAAAGTATACAGTTCAGTGTCCCTGGAAAGATCCATCTCCGGGCATTTCAGCAGAATCTCGACAACGGTCTCGTTGTAGTTGGTCAAGGAAACTTGGATTTCATCCTGAGAATCGTGCGACATTGTTTCAGAGTTGGCTCTCTGCGTCGAAGGAGACGACCTCATAGCTCTGGAGACCCGGCGCTTGAAACTCGAGAAAGCCTTCTTCATTGAATTCCTCGTCACTTGTCAAAGGAAGCGAGAGAAAGGTTTTTCTTCTTGGGAATCTGAGATTATAGTTGGATTACGAGCTGAGACTCCTGCATCGATATATATATAGACACGGTCTCGGCGATTTTCCATTTTTGTTCTGATCCCGTTTTCCTTTGTCCTTTTTTCCAATTTGCAAAATGCTCCCTGCCTTTTGCTTCCTTTTTCCTTTTTTTCGGCCATGTTTCCAATTCAATGTACACTTTCCTAGTTTTAAAAAAAGGATAACGATGAACAATTTATTGTTAATAGATGTTTTCCTATTGGTTTAAAAAATCGAGGAGGGGAAAACAAAAGAAAATGGAAATCCAGAGGTCCGTTTTGTTCAGTGCAAAACATGCCGCATGTATGTAGGGATCACATTGATATTTTTTAAAAGTCTGTGGCTCAATTGCTTGAATCTTAGACAATCGGGGCAACTCAAGCATATATTTGGACAAAACGGCTGCGTTTTGAGCTGCAACCATCCCTCCGCCGTTGCGTCATCGTCTTTCCCCGAACCCTTATTCTCAAAAACAACAGTAAAAGTAAAACTTATTTTTTATAAAAAAAATACAAATCTCATTTAAATACATAAATTATATAAAATATGCTAAAAATATGTTAATTTGATAAACAATACAAGGATTATATTAAAAATTCATGAAAACAAAAACTATAGTTTACTTTTTACTGTTCAAGCGCGTGTTCCTCACGACCCCCACGAAGCTCGCTTACGGGACCGATCTCTGTAGAGGTTGGAGGAGACCCGATCGAGGGTACTGCACGAAGAGGAGGAAGCGCCCGTACTGGAGTGGAGGGAGTCGATGATGACATTCCGGCCAAAACGCTGCGTTTTGTTCAATTCAAAAACATGTCGTCCGGTATAATCTAAAACCCTAGAAATCCGAATGTGCCCCCCAAAAATATTTGACGAAGTTCGCTCTCGCATCCTGGGTACGATAGAGGAAGAGGAACTGAAAAAAGTCTCCAACTTTTTCGTGTTTCGGTGGTTTCTGTGTAACTCCGACATGTTCAGCTTGTTTCCATACGCGAGAGATGTCGGAGGGGGTTCTCGTCTTCTGTGCTGTTTCCTGTTTTCCGGTCACAGGGAGTTCTCTTCTGTTGACACAGTAGATGTGCGCGGTGAGTAAAAAGGAAGAAAACTCACATTTACGGTGTCCTACCTCGTCAGTTCATGTGGGTTTTCCCTGGAATCTGCTAAATCTCGCGCCAGGTACATTCATTTGAATTCGCCAGAGAAACCGGATTCTGTCCTTAAGCTACTGAAGAGCTATGGATTCACCAATAAACAGATCACTAGAGTTGTCTATTCGAATCCCAAGATTCTTCTAGTTAGTGAAGGCATCATTCTTCCAAAGCTTGAGTTTCTTGGCTCCATCGGATTCTCGGGTGACCAGAGAACAAAGTTTATCACGTCGAGCCCGAATGTTCTGGCTTCTAGCTTGAGCAACAGCCTCATCCCTGCTTACGTCGCCCTGAAGAGTCTACTCGGCCAGGATGAAATCGTGCAATGTCTGAAACGTAGTCCACGGCTGCTTGTGACGGAGTGCAGAAGCATTTAGCTTCCAAGACTTCCATCTTGAGCAGCCATGGAGCTCCGCAAGCCCATATGAAGAATCTGATCAAGTTTGCTCCACGCATAGTGTCTTATCCTGCAGGCAAATTTACTGAAACTGTGAAAAAGGTCAGTGGAATGGGGATTGAGCCGACAAAATTGAAGTTTGTATACGCAGTGGCTGTGATTTGTCAGGTGCAGGAATCGACATGGGAACACAAAGTCGATGTGTTCAAAAGCTTGGGATGGTCAGAGGAGGATATCCTATCAGCTTTCAAGGTGGCTCCCCTCACAATGGCATACTCGGAGAAAAAAAAAGGAATGTGGTGGAATTCTTTGTGGATACGATGGGGTTGACGCCTTCTGTTATAGCCAAGGCCCCGGCGATAATGGGACTGAGCCTTGAGAAGAGAATCAGACCGAGGTGCTTGGTGATGTCAACCTTGCTGTCTGCAAGCTTGCTGAAGAAAGGCACTTTTACCTGTCCTTATGTATTGACAATAGGAGAGAAGATATTCATGGAGAGGTTTGTGACGAAATACTGCAAAGATGCTCCTGGGAAAACATCAGGTTGACTCACAGGACAGACAGTGATCTCAGGTGGGCTGGTAGTGGGTCTGGTTTTGGTCCCTGGCCTGTTGTCAAAGCTCTGATTCTTGTTTTCAAAACAGCTTGTCAAGGCAACTTCATAATAATGTGGTGCTTTGACCTTGGCAGGTTTTTTAGATTAACAAAAATTTTTGGGGATTGGGGATAGGTAGGTTCTTGCGTATTTTGTCTTTAACAGAACAGTGTGTATTGTGTGGTTTAATCATTGTAGAGCTCGACGGATATTTGAAAAGAAGAAAGAGTTCAGTTTAAAAAAAACAGTTCCAGTGTTTCTTTTTAGACAGAAAATGATCGAAATATGGATTTCCACTGAGAAAATGTTTAAACGACGTCGTCCCACGTTGTCTGTTCTCTTATCTTTGTTCAAAAATTCAACTTTTCGATAATGGGTTTCGTAGTAGAAGAATAGAGAGCGAAATTTGGAAGAGCTGGCCTCCTCTTCGGCATTCAACCCATGCGTTCCTGAATCAGAGCCGGTGAGTATTGTCTTCATTGTTTACTCGCAACTATAGGGTGGCATAGCTTCTGGGTTTTCTCGAATTGAAACAGATCGTTCGAATGGTTTCAACCTTCGGCCATTGAAATTTGTTGGCTTTTGATTTCCCTTCTCATTTCCTTTTTTGGGGATCGATAATCGCGCTGCCTTCTCATGTTTTCTCCAATATTCCGTGGAAGAAGATTGTTCGAGTTACAGAAATGTCGGAGCTTGAGAGTTCCGGTGACCCTTTTTCAAAAGGCGTCAGCTTTCGCCGAATCATTCTCATCTGCGACTGCTACTGCTGTGAAATCTGAAGATGATGGTAGAGGGAATAAGATTACCGTCTCTTACCTGGTTGATTCCTGTGGGTTGACTCCAGAGCTGGCTGAATCTATCTCGAGGAAAGTCAGCTTCGAGGAATCGGATAATCTGCTCAGCGTGCTGAATCTTCTGAGAGGCCATGAGTTCACGAATTCCCAGACCTGCAGGATCATTAGGACTTACCCGCGGTTGCTTCTAGTCAATGCTGAGAAATCCCTTCGTCCCAAACTCGAGTCTTGAGTTCTGCGAGATCGTTACAAAAGTCCCTAGAATCTTGGGGAAGAGAGGTAACGACTCACTCAGCCGGTGCTATGATTTCCTCAAAGACATAATTATAAACAAGGATGAAACTGGCAAGAGTTCCAACGTTGAGGAGTTTCATCCTTCTCTGGCACAGGGGGCGCAGAAGAATATCGTCCGCAACATATCGGTTCTGAGACAACTGGGCGTTCCTCGGCA